TATGCCGAATGTGCTAATGGCCGAGGTCGTAAAGATACGGTTTAGGCCATGATATCAATTCCAAGTTCGCCAGTTCGAACCCCATTTGACTGAAAAAAATATTTGGAGCCAATAATTTTTCAAACTGTGTAAATAAATAAGACATATAGATAGAATTAAATTTATTGAGTGTCAGTATTACAAAAATCTACATAATATATATATATATATATATATATAAATAAATATATATACGCATATATATATATATATATATATATATATATATATATATATATAAAAGATAAGAAATAGTAGGATAATTTTTAATAAATTTATATTTACGCCTGGTTAACAGTAAACCAAACCTACTTTGGTGTAATTTAAAAATCTTTTTATTTTTCCGATAAAAAAACAGTCTATCAGGAGCAGCCAAAATTGGCCAAAATCGTGACTTTCAAATGCAATTTTAAGGTCCTTAATGAATGAAATTGATAATTTTAATGAATGCATTGTGTAGACTAAAGTACAATCTTTATACCAAACCACAAAAATTACAAATTTATCATCATCTTCAGTGTTAAAATCAGCTTCAAAGTTGGCCATTTTTCCAACTTCAATTTGGTACCAAGGGCAGAAAAATTTTTTTTTCAAAAAATTGATTTTATATTCGGAATCAGCGCCTCGAAAACTATCAGAATCGGTCAAAACATTTTGAAAATCGCGAAAAAAAATGTTCATTTCATTAGTAAAATTTAGATTTTGCAACCAAAGATTTCGATTTTTTGCAGAGGTTTACAGATTTATCCAAAAGCGGTTAACATTTTCGAATTCAGCGACTCAAAATCAATCAAAACACATCAAAACATTTTGAAAATCGCGAAAAAAACTCGATTTTTGAAAAAAAAAACGACTTTGCAACCAAAGATTTCGATTTTTCGCGGGGTGTATGTGGATTTACCCAAAAACGGATAGCATTTTTGAAATCAGCGTCTTAAAATCTTTAGAAATCAGTCAAAATATTTCAAAAATTGCGAACACAAATCCATTTCTTTGATAAAATTTCGATGTTGCAACCAAGGATTTCGTTGTTTTGCAATGGTACCCTGAAAGGTCATTAAACAGGATAATTTCGTCTTTTTCATCAAAAAGACTTTGTCCAATAGTTGTTGATTATATGTCCCTTTACTATAGCGAAGATCCAAAAGATCTTTTTGAGGCATTCTTATAAGTCATAAGCACCTGTAATAAAAATAAAAAAATATTTTAAGACCATACATCTAAAATAGTATTATATGTTTCTCATTACTAATCTAGTAACATAAAATATACCGAATGATAGATCATTTATATTAATCTAATAACTTGAGTCCATAAATGGTAGTTTAAAAAAGACATGAATAGCAGTCTATGGTTTTAATATGGTTTATGATTTATAAATCTAAATTTTATCTATTTTTCACTAATATGAATAAATTAAAATGCCTAGAACAAAATTTTAGAGTTATTTGACAGTATATAAAAAAAACGTCCAAAATCAACCTATAGCCAATTATTAAACTCAATTTTAGTAAATTTTATCTAGTTTTTACTAATGTAAATAAATTTAAGTCCACCGAACAAATTCAACTAAATGTCCCAAATCCACATATTGCTAATCATCAAACTCAAACCTGCGTTCCAACTAACTATTGTTCAAAATTTTGATAGCCAAGAGCATTTAACAATTTATACTAAATTCTAGCAAATTTAATCTAGTTTATGTGACCGGAATAAAATTTTCAAAATATTTGACATAATGTGAAAAAAGTCCTACAATCAAATATTGAAAATTATAAAAATATTGAGGTCTGCGTTTCTACTAGTTTCATTTTAAATTTCAATATTTAAGTGCACATAATAATTTATATTAAATTTGAGTAAATTTTATCTAGTTTAAACTGATATAAAAATTCTGAATGTCTAGAACAAAATTTATTTGTTTTAAAAGTTATTTGACAAAATGTACAAAAATGCTCTAACTCCACATATTGATACTTATCCGCATTTCAAGTACAAATTATTCAAGATTTTGATACCCAAGTGTATAGAACAATGTAAAGTAAATTCTAACTATTGATGTATGGCTTAGAGCCTTAAGGCAAATTTCTGGAACGTACTGTAACCAAATGTTCGAGGGATATTAAATGTTTTCAAATAGATTATTATAAATACTGTAACATTGTATAATATTTATAAGAATTGTATAAACTGAATCACAAAGTCAGTTTTTCTTTCCAAAAGCAATTGTTTTGTCAACACAAGCAGAAAGTTTTTTAAATCATTCAATTCGGATGCTTATTTCTCTCAAAAACTGCAATTTTTTGTATATTTAGTAATGGCTGGGCCTGTATCTTTGTAATGGCTGGGCCTGCTCTTGCCAAAAACTAATAGCCATTTCTCCCAATCATTTACGTATTTTTTACATTAATCATATATATAGATAATAACTACAAAGCATTTTATTTTAATTTATGATCATCAATTTGTACTTACTGTGGATATGTTCAGATCATCGTGTTAGATTTCATAGCTGCTCTCATGATTTCTTTGAAAGGGCATATTTGCATGTAATTGAACTCATATAAATCTAATTTAAATGGTAAAGTCACAGAATTGCACAACATTCTTTTACATCGTTCTTTTGGAAGCACATAACATTTTTGAACTCAACTGATCACAAACTCACATTAAGCGTAAATAAAATCCTTATCAAATATTATAGACTATAGACATAATTGTGAATAAATAAATTATAATTATAACTAAAACTTTACTGTTTACCTGGAGCTGTCAAACTCGAAGGTAGAACTGATCCAACTGTCAAATCATCGACTCGAAGAACTTTTTGAACAAGAAACCAGGACCGAATTTCAACAAATCTAAATATTTTAAATAAATATGTAAATTGGTTCAAAAAGTCCCAAAAATGCATTATTAAATAGCTAGCCTTAGGTCAGATATTACATATCGCTCAATAAATGGTCTTTGTTCTATCCAAGACGATAATTGATCAAGTAAATAAAAAAAACAATTCTACGAGTTGGTCGTCACCTCCAGGTGGACTCTGTCTACCTCAAAGTTGATTCCAGAGTCCGATTTAAATTTGCCGCCTTTGAGTATCGATTCGAAAAACTTGTAACCACAGTGGTGACTGCTATCAAATACATGGGGCTATTTGATCATTTATATTTCTTTTTTTGGCAGCTTTTGTCTAATTTGGGAAGAACTACAGATATTTGTGTGGTATTTGGTCCCACATGCTCTCATTATGGCACTTAAACTTTTGACAGCTCCAAGTATTTTGTGAAGATCGCAGCATCAGGCGCTCTACAACATTTCTTTAAATGGAATTCAACTGGCATCTCGTGCATAATCTGGTGAAGTTATATTGCTTTAAATGACATCTACATTGACTTCTTCTTACCAATATATAACTTAAGGGGGTTGTTCTTTTTTTGTTACAAAAAATGCAAGGTATTTGTTTTTGTTTTTCTCAAAATATATTTATCATAGAGACATGCGTTGTTCAAACAAAATCATAGAATACTAAGAATTTTTATATTTTTTTTTGTCGCCGTCATTTGTTAACCAGGGGGCGCCAAAATGGGCATTGCAAAATCGATCTCTTTTGCGGTGCCACAGATAAATCCGTTGCGCATCGCCTGAAACAAAAAAAAACAAAACTACGTTGAAGAAGAAGTTTGAATCCAGTCCCCCTACCAAAATGAAAGAAAAAAAGCAAGAAGGGAAAAAATGGCAGCTATTTAAAAAAAAAGTGTCAAAAAGGGCCTTTTTTGGGACGAGAAGCTTCGAAAATTTTTTTTGCGTATTGCAGTGGTGAACAAACTAAAAAAAAATGCAAGTCGATCCAACTTGTAGTTTTTTTTTTTAATTTATGGCACCGCATTGAAAAAAGTCAATTTGAGAAAAACGTATTTAAAGTTTTAAATATAATGTACTAAATACACCATTTAATTTAATGTACTAATACACCATGGTGTTCAAAGATGCTGACACATTAAAAAGGTCATGTGCATGACGTACTATAATGAAAAAGAGAGCATCTGGCATACATTAGCTCGCGGAGCGATGAAAAAAACAGTTTCAGAGGATCATACATATGGAGATATATATATATCTATAACTTCGTCAAAAAAATAAATATTGAGATGATTTTTTTTTAAATAATTCTAAGGATTTTAGTAATATCAAAAAATCTCAAAATCAAAAAAAAAACAAACAACCCCCTTAAGGTTAGATGTTTTACACGTACAGATATTTGGGATCAATTCAATCTTCCAACTATCACATCGACCAACTTTTGGCTATTAGTCCTATTAGTCTATCGGTTGGCAAATTTTGGTAGGCAAATTTACTTTGGCTTCTTTACGGTCAAACCGACAAAATTAGTATCTAATTAGATATGAAAAATGAGTTTGACAAACTGTGACGGTTGACACATTTTATTTGAGTTAAATATATTTCAATATAAAGATTTTATACATAGCTATATATATATATATATATATATATATATATATATATATATATATATATATATAATAATTATATATATGTATATATAATTTTTTTCTTCTTACTATCATTAATACAATAAATTACTACCGCTAATTTTCTTAAAACTATTATTCTAAGTTCACATATAGCCTAATAATACGTGATGCATATCAACAAGTTGTATATTAACTCTATAATATTCACATAAATATTAATATAAATATATAAATAAATAAATAATTAAAGGAACGTGAATTGTTATATTACAGCCCTAACAATATCCAACAATTCGTTGATTTATTCGATTATATTCGTAAATATAAAATTATAATAAAATCATCAAATTGTGAATTATTGGAGTAACGAAATATAGAAGCTAAATTTATTAAGTCAAAAAATAAAAAAACATGCGTACTTCGTTATATATAGTTTTAGTTTAACGTGTATTTTGTTGAATATTATATTTTTGCAAAATTTAAAATTAGTGCGAGGAACTATGATGTTTTTCAATCAGCTGGTGCATATGACTTTGTTTGTTTCCTAATCACCAACTACGTCTACTCCTATCTTATAATTTCTATAAAATTGTCATTTTTTCTTGAATTTTCTCTTCTTTGAGCCAGACATTTTTTGTTTAAGAAGGTGATAAAAATAATATTTTTGTTGCAATTAAAATTGATCAAAAAGCAATATTTCTTATAGAGCAACAAAATTTAAACATAATTCGTTACATTTTAGAAGAATGAGATTTTAAAATCAGTACTGAGTCACTAGGACATTTTTTTTCGATTTATTACTATTATACCACTGAACGTTTTCGTCTGGTTGTGGTAGCAGCTGCAGACAATGGTGGTGGTTGAAGCATAGATTTTGCTGCATTTGTCAGTTGCTGCGAAACTACGCTGGCAATGTGGGCACTTCTGCGCCAAACAAATTCACGTGTTCTGTCGTGGTTGTCGGCGCTTTCCACGGAAACTGCACGTGGTTGTTGGACCTAGAAGAAAAATAGTAATTTGTAATAGTTGCTGACACAAGGTAAACAAATTGTTGGTAACAAAGTTTTATTTACCTTGATTGAATGCAAAGTGGCTGCTCCGCCTTTAACCACTCGCAGACTGATTCTTCCTAGCATCTCAGCAGTTGTTGCTGTCGCGCTTTTCAGTTCCCTTTTGGCACCACGTCCAAACTAAAGTAAAAATATTAAATTTTTAATAATTTTAGAGGCGCTAAACCTAATAAACTTTTGGAAGTGCACCATACCTCTTTCTCCACTCTCAAAATAAGAGGACCCAAAATAAAGTTGGTTTTAACAGTGGTGTAATCAGCCATCATGTTTATTTTGACATCTCCTGTTCGTTTCAAAGAAGAAAGTCCATAAAGGGTTCCTCGAGCAATAGGTTGTTGTTTGGTTGATGTTTGCTTGGTACCGTTCTTCTTCTTTTTGTTACCACTTGAAGATTCAGACTTTCTCTTATTTCCAGTTTTGTTAGATGTTGTCGTAGCTCTGTTTTCATTAGCTGTGAAATAAATTCAAACACAAATAATAATACTACTAATACACTAATATTCAAATAATAATTGTATTAATAATCTTACCATTGTTGGCTTCCAGTGTGTGTTTGGTTATCAATTTATCAGTAGATGCTGGTAAACGTTCTGGCATTTTTGATTCGATGACGGTCATATTGTGTTCTTCAATCATTTTATTTTGCACTACATCTGCAGATCTTTGAGATTTGTGGGTCTTCCTACGCCTGGAAAACAAATCTTACATTGATAAAGATTTAAAAAAAATGACTGCTACTTTTGATAGAGGATAAGTATAAAGTTGTAAGCTTCGGAGGAAATGGTGATTCTTTGAAAAGTTTAAACTTTTAAATTTTCAAAAAAATCATCTGGTTTTCTTATAAAATATGCTAAAGTAAATTGGAATGATAAAGAAAAGTTTATAAATTATATAGTCAATTTCCATTTGATTATTCCCAGACATCGGTTCACTTAAGTAGGATATTAAACCATGGCACTGCAAAAAATTTACCTAGAAGGAATAGGTAATTTCAAAAGGAGGAAAAACGATTTCAACTGTTTCTAAAAATGTTATTAAATTTAATATTATTTTGAACTGTAAATTTGATGGTCTACTAAGCAACTCTCCCAGAATGTTCAAAATATTGAACGAATATAAAAATTACATTTGAATTCAATTGAGTTCATTTTTATTAACTTCCCGAAGGACAAGTTTATGTTTTCATAAAAAAATCCGATTCGCTAATTCTCGACGTTTCAAGCTGTTCTGAATCGAATGAGCCCAAATTTGGAAAAAGTATGTGTGTGTGTGTGCGCGCGTATATGTGAACAGTTTTTTTTTATTATTACTCAAGTTCGATCCTGGTAGAGAATTTAAATAGGTCACATAAAGAAAGTATTTCACCTCACCTGTGTACGTTATTCCTGCGTTTGTGTCCACTCTTTTTTCCATTACTTTTTTTAACATTCTCGGCACTCTGAAGACGTACATTGACCGGATCGTAGGACCTTCTTAAGATTTTGTTGATGCTTCCTAAGATACCATCCACGAATCTGTTGTATTTTGCGATGTAAATTTGAGGAGTCTGTGTTGTGCTAACCATCGCACCTGATAAAATAAATTTAATAATAATTTATTAAAATAAAATATAAATTAATATATTTTTTAATATATATTGATAACTATATATTATATTATACCATATCAATCGATATAAAAATGTGCAGCTCTCCTCTAGATTAATAATGATTGTTGTATAATTGACTTATAATTTTATTTTTTTATAGTATGAAATTCATTGAATCCCTTAAAACAAATATAAATACTTTGTACTTAATAACGTTTAATATATTTAATATATTCTTTTAAATAAATAAAAATTATCAAGTGTTCAATTTGATGATTGATAAAACTAACTTAAAATAAAAAGGCATAAACGTTTATGAAAACTGCACATTTCTATCTTGAATAGTGATATTAATGTATTAATTTTTGCCAAATTATATTTTGTACGAGTGATGACACTTTTTACTAGTATCTCAAATATTAAGTAAATACTAATTATAGTAATATCTCAAAAACTAGTGCATGAACCAATTCAAAATTTTTGTCACAAACTTGGTAAAGTATAATAACAATGTGTGCCAAGTTTCATCAAATTCGCAAATTCCGCTTTTGAGATACCATAGTGCATCTCTTTAAATATTCGTTAGGCCAAATGTGCTCTCAACCTAAAACTAAGCTAGTTTCAGGTCAGAGTGCGTTGGTCCGTAATCGCCAATATCGAACATGTCAATTGTTAAGTAATCGTGTATATCTCGAAAACTAGTGCATGAACCAATTCAAATTTTTTGTCACAATCTTGGTAAAGTATAATAACAATGTGTGCCAAGTTTCATCAAATTCGCAAATTCCGCTTTTGAGAAAATACTATGGTGCGGCTGTTTAAATATTCGGTAGGCTAAATGTGCTCTCAACCTAAAATAGGCTAGTTTCAGGTTAGAGTGCATGGGCTCGTAATCGCCAATATATTTGTAATATTTTTACTGATTTGGAAAATTCATTTAAAATTGTCATTGGTGCTGTAGAACATAATTTTGAAATAATTCTATCTTAATCAGAATTGCATATTGTAATTATCAATGTCAGCTCGTAGGTTTGAAAAACAGTTTTTAGTAAATTTATTTGTCTTATTTAGAGAATAAATCAATTATATCAGATACACTAGACTACCAGCGATTCCCAAAGTGATCTATATCGAATCCCCAATTTTTGTGGGATCCACTAAATGCAAATGGGTCATTCCTAAGAGGGCCTATATTTCCCAGGGGTCTAAGACAACTTTCAAAGAAATATTTTAGGGGTCAACGAAATGAAAATGTTGATCCATGACATGTAAATAATTCAGATGTATCAGATTATTTCTAGTTAAAGTTTAGATAATTAATGCACTTGACAGACACCGTAGATGAGCAAATTTCAATTTTTAACTTCTCGTAGGGTAAGTTTTATTAATCGCAAAAAAATCGAAAATGAACATTTTTATATATCTCTACGTTTTAGAGGTTTCTGAACATTTTGACATACCTTAGACAACATTTAACATTTGATTTCTGAACATTTTAACATACTTTAGAAAAAATGGTTGTATGTGTGTGTGTGTGTGTGTGTGTTTTGATTCTAAGTCAGCTATGCAGCTTGATTGCTTTAACAAAATGTTCAATATTTCAAACAAAAAAAAACAAAATACAAAAAAATCCAAATTTTCAAAAAAGTTTTTTTCTTAATTTCTCAATAATCTAATAATGTTTTTTCTTTAAGTTGTTAAGTTGCCTTGAGGCACGATGCCATGTACCACTAGTTTATTTTTAGAATTAATAATGTAATTAGAGATTGTTGAACAGTCCTTCTAATTCAATGTGGTTCTCTGATTTATTTTACGTTATATATATATTAGCTTGTATTGCATTGGCATTCTAAAAAAAGGTTTTTAATACAACTTCTATCTCGGGATCATCGATAAATATTCTCAATTTATTTACGATCAGTATCAAGCATTTAGTATCATCATAAAATTATATTGATCTAGAATGTAGGTGAAATTTGCTTGAATCTATAGTCGTTTCGTATTTATATAAGTATATTCAAGCATTTTGCAGTCCATAGATTTTTTATGGTTACGGGAATTAATTAGCCTCTCTCTAATAATAATAAAAGATACTGAATCGGTAACAACAAATACTATATCCTATACAGAACTTTTTGAGAGTTTATTTAATCAATTAAAACAAAAGATGTCTAGAATTTTGTCTTTCAATATTTATTCAATGCATCCAAAAAAATGCAGATTGAAGTGAAGAGTCTGTCCCTGGTTGTCGTCGTCAGTTTCAGGTGAATGTCCTCCCGAGTTCGAAACAGGTTCTTCCGGTAGTGTGTCATGGTCACCCGTGGAAGGATTCCCGTCAAACGTTTGTCTTCCGTCTTAAGAAATTTAATTGGTTAAAGATAAAACGAAGTCGAATAATAAGTGTCACTCACGTATCGTTTCTTAGCGGACCAGAGCTAAAGTCTTCATGTAGGTCATGTCAAATGGAAGACGTTTTCGCGGGCGTTCTTGGAATTCCAACAAATAAAGTAAATTCTAGTAAAAGTTTCACTTGAGATCGTTAGCCTCGATCTAAAGGTTTTTTAATGGAGGAAGAACACAATGTAACAGATGAAACAATTCTAAAATATTTACTCAAAAATAACCATAATGCTGCATCCTCATATATGAGGATTCTCAATCTCCTCTCTCATTATGAAAAGATTCATTAAAAAATTGTATGTAGATTAATGAAGTAGTCCTAAAATGAAAAATAATAATAAATTCTTTGTTACAAATTTGGAGAGAGAATAATATTATTCTTCAAATTCGACACTCGATTTCATTTATCTCAAGAGATGAACAGTGTTTAATAAGATTTTTTTCTCAAATGTTTTGGCTATATAAAGGATCATCATTTAGTGTTTTAATAATGATTTTATTTAAATGAATGTTATATACCAAAATCGATTTAAATAAAATTTCTGTGTATAAAGCACAAAAAGAATTGCGATTCATTGAACATTTATATGCAACTACATTAATTTGTAAATTTAAAACAAATGCAAATTTTAGTAACTTTAAAAAATATTTAAAACAATATTATGATCAACTTGATCTATATAAATGAAAAGAGGGTAAAAAGTATCAGATAGGTTTGCCTGGTCAGGAAATTAAAGTGAAATTTTTTTTAATTATTTTTTAATTAACTAGAACCTATTGGACTCCAACGTCACCTTATGTGCCAAATTTGAAACCCTTAGAAAGATTCATATTTTTTTACAGTTAATTTAACTAATTTATTGTATTGTTTTATTTAATATTGCTAGATTGAAATAATGAATTTTATTATTCGGTTATTAACTATTTAATTTACTTGCTCAAGTTACTTTTATATATATTCTCAACAGTTTTATTCGCTAATAAATTATGTGACTCGACCAATCAACCACAATAATGAATAGAATATTATATTGTGCATGTAGAAAACTAATGTTGGAACTATTGATTAATTTGATTCGCTATTTTTTTTTCACTTATTATTAAATTATTTTACTTCTTTCAATATAAAAGCTGATTTCTTCCGATTAGGTCAGAATGAATACAGGAAGCATATCTTAAATAGTAAACAAATCAAAATTATTATAATAAAATATTCCATAAAAATTTTTATATACCGGTTATCGAAAAATGTGATATAGTTTATGGCTTGATCCGTTAATATTCCGTATAATTTAGACAATCATTTCCTTTATTAGAATGAATGTATCATTTAAAATTCTCAGCTGTGTTTTTGAAACTGCTTTCACATAAAACCGGCAATGGTTTTTACGACATGTATCCAAAGTTTTTTATGTATTAACCCACTGAATTTGTATTTTCAATGTTTGTTCACACGGAAACATACTGACTTAGTTGTTTTATCGTATATATTATAATATTTAATGATCGGATATGAATGGACGCATAGAAATTCGCACAGTACTGTTAAACGCGTTGATTCGAAAATTTGTAACGGAAATATCGAATTTGTGAGAAACACATTGTGAATAATAATTGAATTTTTAGAATTGGTAAATGAATGTAAAAATAGTAAAATTCTTTAGATAATTAGACAAAAAATCTTTCTTCAAATTTATTTATAATATGGCCATATTTAAATGAGTTTTGGTGCTTCAGAATGTTATATCGATTAGTCATTTACCTCTCATTATTTACAAAGAATTTTTTTTGCACGTTGTGTAAGATAAAGAAATATCACTAGTCATAATTTATTAACGCAATTTTTTCAAATCATCAATATTATAGTACAATACTAGAAAATACTTCAGTATAGTATAGAAACAATACCCTCAAGTATATAAAACATTAAGAAATGAAAATGAAAAATCGACCTTTAATAATTAGAATTTGGATTAGTATCAAAGTAACTTAATAAAAATCTGAGGTGGCTATGAAGAATTTCATATTATATACTAGATTTCTGTGACACCTAATAATTGCCCACAATATTTAAATAAGTATAACAATTGTACCCCCGAATGAAAAATTAATTCATGAAAAAAGCAGTATATTTAATAATAAATGCTGAAATGATATATTAATGTAAAATTGATAGTTTCTATAGCTTATACTAAAATTTGCATAATATTTAATCAGCATTAGAATTAGCTAGAAGTGACCAAAAAAAGAATTTTTAGAAAATAGATGTTTCATTTGAAATGTTTTATCATTATATCAGTTTTGGATGTTTTTTTAATTGATTTTCTATATTCGGCATGTGAAAGTCTTTGACATATATAAAACATCTATTAATTAAAATATATATTTAATATATTACGTTTGCAATAAACACTACTGTGAAATAATTTTAGTACCAATAGCTCAGGGGGTGTCCATTAATCACATGAGATTTTTAGGGTGCTGGGGGGTTTGACAAAAAATCACAAAATATCAGGTGGGAGATGGAAGGGGTGTAGTAAGATATTACGTCCATTAAATTTTTACTTGATTTTTTTTAAAA